CCTGCTGACCGATCAGAGCTCAGTGTGCGGAGTTTAAATCTATCAAGTCATATTACAGGAAAAAGGAAATGCAGTTTAAACTGCCGTATGCAGAGAAGACGCCGACGTGTCGCACTTATCATTCATATCACACTGACATCACATCATCAATCAGATCATCGATCTCACATCGATATCACAATATTTCCTTATCTGAGTCAGCTTCTCGAGCCGTATCTGGCCGTGCAACACTTAGTTACATTGTCACATATACTGTATGCAGACGTATTATTTTAAGCAACACATTAAGTTGACGAAACACTCAACTCAAATGTAATAAAGTCAGATCCCTTCGTGTTTTAGATGGGGCAGTATCATAAAACTGTTGTACGCTTTGTTGGAGTTTCGAGGTTTTTACAACCCCACTCGGCTCCGCGTGTCGTTTTGACGAGTCCTGCTTAAAATCATAACAGGAAGGAAATCAGACAGAGAACACCCAGATACCAGTTTAAACAATCTGTTTTAATTATCAAAGGTAATAATGCAATGCACTATAATACATTACAATACCATATAATACAATATACTAAAATCATATTGTAATGTTTTAAGAAGTAGCCGGCCCACTTCTGCCCTGTTCGCGTGCTGCGGAGATCCTTCTGTCCTGACAGCATGTGAAGAGAGGCCGAACTCAGGAATCGACAGAACATATACCAGAAGACAGAAGGAAGGGGTGAGGTCAGCTGGTCATCTTTTCAGGTCCTCTCATTGGCAGACGCAAAATATGCTTTGTCACAGTGACCCAGCGCTGGCCAGCAGAAAACCAAACGGGCCCATTTTACAACAAAACACATCTTATCACCCAAGTCATGTGTTTCTTTATGAAAGCCATACTTGTTAGGAATAAAACAGTCATTATCCCATGACATCCTCAGAACTAGCTCACCAACAACGCCTAACTGTCTTCATACCCCCCCCAATCATCTCTGAACTTTTATTCACCCGAAGTAAGCTCACCCTTAGTCTAAAAGGACCATTGTCTCTCTTAACTGTGTGACTAAATTCTCAAGGCCTGCAGGATGCGCATAATTAACTTAGAACGAATTTAGCCACTATATCTAATGGTTAACCAAGAAAAACACTCAAAAGGGTAATCTTTTCACTCAAAACAGAACTCACAAGTAATTCTGCATTTTACCCCTCAAAAATAGCCTAAAGCACCCTTTTGATGAAAAGGGTAAAAGTGAAAGAAAAAGACTATTGCGCTAATCTACTTTAAAGAAAAAGGGAACATTGTTTCAGGAATCTATCAAAAACCTCTCTATATTTAAGAGGAAAAATGTATTTTGTTCCTTCAACTATTAATACACAGGAATGTATATACCCACACATATATTTAGGGATAACATGATGCAATACACCTCTTATATATTGGTGAGATTAAAATGAATATACCAAAAATATGCTGCATCACATCTTCTGCATAATACTCTTCATAAACTTCCGCAACTATTACTGTAATATTTATACTTACCCATGCCCAAATGGATCCTTGTTGTTGTATTTGTATTCTTCTTCTTCAGAAGAGTCGAAGACTTCAGGTTCTGAGGCTCTATCTTCACTGCTGCTAGCGAAAAAAATCTCTAGCGAAGTCGGCAACTGTAAAGTTTTTTTTAGCCATTTTCTCTGTCTCTCTCTCTCTCCTCAAAGACGTAAACTGATGGGAGACACGTGGTTTATGTTTTGTTTACTTGGTGGGTAGGTTCTTAGTGATTTCTCGATGTCCATTGGTCATTTCAGACCATGATGGCTGCCGGCCGAGATTTCCTTGACGGACACACGAATCCACCAATCCACAGTGTAAAGTCAAGCTGCTTTGAGCGGCCATATTGGCTGCTGTGCCCTGGTTACAGTCTCACAGGAGATACCGCTGGAAAGCTACTCTTCCAGTGATTATGCGGATATCTGAATCATATTTCTACTCCTTATAATCGGAAATATATGATTAATTACGTAAAATTATGCGCACCTGGAGTCCGACTCCAGAGGGTTAAAGAAAGGCTACATCATGCCTATGATTTGGCCCGTGAGTCACTCCGGACCTCCCAGTCTAAGATGAAATCCCGGTATGACAAAAAGACAGTTGCGCGGGAGTTTCAAATCGGTGACCAGGTATTAGTTCTGCTTCCCGTTGTTGGTTTGGCCCTTCAAGCAAAATTTTCCGGCCTGTATGAGGTGGGCCATAAACTCAGTGGAACGGATTATATGATCCGTACTCCGGATCGTAAAAAGAAAACTCGGATGTGTCATATAAACATGCTTAAAATGTACGTTGATCGTGAAAGTGGCGCTGCTCAATCTCCGATGGTAGCGCCTATCGCCTCTGTGTCTGTTACTCAACCACCTTACAGCCCCAGTGATGACGGGCTGAGTGACAGGCGCGCTTCTGTGTCCTGTGCGCGCCTCGGTAATTCAGCCATATTGTCCGATCTTAATGCACATCGAAAACATCTACCTTACTCGCCCCGGGCTGATATTCGCAGGCTCATTGAAAATTATCCGTGTTTGTTTGGGGATACTCCTACTCAAACGACTGTATTGGCTCATGATATTGAGGTAGGCGAACACAAGCCTATTAAGCAGCATGCCCATCGTGTCAACCCGGCTAAGCGAGAATTGATGCGTCAGGAAGTGAAGTATCTTGTTGAACACGGTCTCGCCGTTCCAAGCAATAGCCCGTGGAGTTCACCATCGCTCCTGGTCCCTAAGCCGGATAAGACGCCGCGTTTTTGTAACGATTACGTAAATTAAATGCCGTTACTAAACCAGATTCCTTCCCGCTTCCACGGATGGATGACTGTTTGGACCGTGTGGGTTCTGCTAAATATGTTACAAAGTTGGACCTCCTAAAGGGATATTGGCAGGTTCCCCTCACTAAGCGTGCTGCTGAAATCAGTGCATTTGTCACACCAGACTGTTTTTTGGAGTACACGGTTATGCCGTTTGGGTTAAGAAATGCACCTGCCACTTTCCAGCGGCTGATGAACAGGGTTTTATGTGGGGTTGGGAACTGCAAAGTTTATCTGGATGATATTGTGGCCTATTCATCCACCTGGCTTGAGCATCTGAAGACTCCGAGTGAAATATTTGATCGTTTGCGTTCAGCTTCCCTCACACTCAATTTGGCTAAATGTGAGTTTGGGAAGGCTATAGTGACGTATTTAGGTAAGCAAGTGGGACAAGGTCAGGTCTGCCCTGTGGCTGTTAAAGTACAGGCTATTATAGATGTCCCACCCCCCCAGACGCGCCGTGAGCGCCGACGTTTTTGGGGATGGCTGGCTATTATCGCGCTTTTTGCAGAAATGTCTCTGATATTGTGGCTCCCTTGACGGGTTTAGCAAGTCCTAAAGTCCCTTTCCGGTGGTCATCGTTATGTCAGTTGGCTTTCGAGGCCGTAAAGGCGGTCCTCTGCAGTGCCCCGGTACTTGCTGCTCCAAACTTCACCCGCCCTTTTAAGTTGGAGGTAGACACGAGTGCACTAGCGCAGTACTTCTGCAGGAGGATGAGCGGGACATTGATCATCCGGTCTGTTACTTCTCGAAGAAGTTCAAGAAACACCAGCTTCATTACAGCACCATCGAAAAAGAGGCACTGGCTTTACTTTTCGCATTACAGCACTTCGAGGTGTATATAAGGTCGAGTTCTGTGCCAACTGGGATTTTCTCTGATCACAATCCTCTCGTGTTTCTATCTCGGATGCAGAACAGCAACCACCGCCTTATGCGTTGGTCCCTTTTGCTACAGGATTTTAACGTCCAAATGTGCTACAAGAAGGGGGTTGATAATGTTATGGCTGATGCTCTGTCCAGGTCCCAGTGAATCTAACATTTCTTTGGGGGAAATGTTTGATTTTTAGTTGGGGGGGTGTTACGACCCTGGGTCGTTAGGTCATGTGTGTGGACATTTTTTCCCTCCTGTGTCTGTGTGTGTGAGCAACAGGTGGTGCCCGTTAAGCTGATTAGCTACCTTCAACCTGCTGATTGGTCCACCTGAAGAAGAGAGGATATTTAACTGCAGCCGTGCAGTTCCTCGGGCTCTCTCCGACTAGACTTCTCCTACTCCCAACACACATCTGCGCTGCAATGTCTGTCCGGTTACGCTGAGTGCTTATTTATACCGTATGCCGGTCCTTTCTCTCGTGTTGTGAGACTGGGTAGAAAAGCTACTAAACCTGTCTTTGTTAGACACGTTTCATTTTGCTTAGGAGTGCATAACCCTTTCTTTTTTTTCCTTCTGGATAATTCGTTTTCTCCTGTTTTTGCATTAGAGTAGGTAAGATTTTTTTACGTTTATTTTCCTCATTTGATAGGTAAGATTTCGGTCCGTGCATTGTTCTGTGTTAAAATGTGTAAAATTCAATCAATGAGTATTTTTTTTTTTAAAAACATGCTAGGACTACTTTTTACATATACATGTTGTGTTTCGCAGTATACTTTACTAAAAAAATTACTAAAAACCCAAATTCCGATGCTATGCTTTAGTTATCCCTGATGAGCAGGTTTGTTTGTTTGTAACCTTTATTTATTCAGATTGGTCCCATTGAGATCATAGATCTCTTTTTCAAGGGAGACCTGCAGCATATAGGTTCCACATGAAACATAAAACAACATAAAACAATAGAGGATATCATACAACATATTTACAAGCTACATTTACATACTTAGGTGGCATGGTCCATCAGTGTATGAATGGGTGAATGTGAACGTGCACAAGTGCTATGAGGAGTTGGAAAACCACAAAGGTGCTTTAAACTTACATGATGTCAAATGTCCAAGATTATGAATATAATCAAACCCGACAGGTGTTATTTTAGTAGAGACATTTTCCTTTTACAGCATTAATATCAAAGCACGTGTGCCTTTGACAAGCTGTGCTGACATACAAATTGCAGTTAAAACTTACCAGATATTCCTTGATAAGCTCATCTGGATCAGGAAGATAATGAGGGCTCTTAGGACACACTCCCTCCGAAGATGAATGTCTTCAGTCTAGGACAACATTATTTCGGTTAATTTTATTTTTCAAAATGTCTATTGACAGATTTCCTTACTCTTACAGCTAAAATCCTTCACTTTATTTAGAAACAAATGGACACTCCTAGTTACTGAGTTTCATAAAACAACGGTTGCCCTCCCCATTTATCTATAAAAGGATACACAAAAGGTATCCCTTTTAGCTAGCAAGGACTCATTTGACAATGCAGATTTACCTGGTCAAAAATGTCCATGATGTCAGCAGTCTTTTGACGTGTTGATCCTCCTTTGGCACGGATGACTGTGATTAGCTGACTTGAGTGAATGTCCAACTGGGCCATGAACTTCTCCTCAAGAGGAATGGTCATTATCCTCTGGAACTCTGCATTGATCTATGAAAGAATAATACAAAAATGAGTAAATTCAATTGGACTCAGTCTGTATGCAATTAACATTTGAAAAAATAACCATTGAAGCAAGTGTAAACTTCTTCCGACCCCTTTTCGGACGTGTAATTAGCTAAAGCTTTGTTGTTTATTGATACCAAACAATGATACTACAGATTATTCAATTATTAATTAAATGTTTTGTTTTGTTATTGCATTCATTTGTATAAAACTGTATCACCTTTTGTTTCATTTGTATTTTTCTTTGGTTTTACACGCTCGAAGAAAAAATAAATAAACTAAGCATGCCTACACACTGGCAAAAAGTATAACAAACTAAAAATGTAAATGCTGTCAGTAAACACTGTTAAACATAATCTTTACCACACCATATTATGATGAATGGATAAAAGCTTACTAAAAAATTGATACAGACTAGATTATTACCTCTTTGTGTTGGAACAGTGCCGGCCACCTGTCTTTGAAGTCCTTGATTCTTGGCTCTTGGTTTACCACCTCCTGTCGTCTGTAGGCGAATGTGTGAGCCATTTTGTCTGCGATGACTCTATTATTGTTCCTTATCCTGATGTCTGTCAGAAGTTCTAGTCTTTATTTTTCCAGGCTTTCCAGATTGGCACCAGGATGGATAAAAGTTAGCCTCAGCTCGCTTTGGCCTCTTGACTTTTTTAGCAGGGAAAGCATCTGTAGCAGCTTTAGATTTCAGGGAATTTACCACCAGCTCTGGGCACCCCTGCAATTTGAGCTGAGTCCTGTAGTTTCCCATCTTATATTTCAGGCGCTGTTTCCATCCATTGCAGCCATTGAATGAGCCAGGTTCTTTCAAACAAGGATGCTTTTTGATAAGAGCCTCTGCTACTGTGCAGAAATGTGAATCATCTGGATAGGCCTTGTACCCGTAAATTGTTTCTGCAAGTCTATTCAGAATATCAGACTTGCTTCGGGAGCTGACAGTCAACATTTTGTGGCTTCCATTAAACTCAGAATTCCCCTTCACTAGCTGCAGCTCCGTGTCATATGAAAATTGAGGAATCGGAAAGTCCGCTGGCCACTGTTTGGCTCGAGAGGACACAGATTCGGGGGATGAGAGGATTATTGTGTCATCTGATGCCAACGAAACATTGCCATCACACTCAAGTGAAGACGATGATGTGGTATCAGTGGCAATGTTCAAAGGTGTATTTGTTTGCTGGTGGATCACTTTGATTGTTCCCAAATCCTGAAGTTGAGTGGTGGAATTCAGATTGAAGAAGTCGTTGCCAAAGTCTTGGTCCATGTACTGCAGTCTGACGTCGCCCTTTAACCCAAAGAAAGTCTTTAACTTGCTGAGAAGGTCATCCAATGATTCCGGTATGCCATTTGGAAGAGACAGTTTTTCAATGTTGTTCTCCCCCAAAATCACTTTCAGTCTTGCAGGCGTCGAATCAGCCATGGCAGTCTGAGAAGACAACACAAGCACAATACGTTTTAAGAAAGGCACATTAAACATAATTCCTTATTATTCACACTGTTAATGTATCATCTTATAGATGTGTTATCAGTTTTCAGTAAAGGACTACAACTTTGTGTAAATCCCTTTTCCACTGGCGGCATTTGCTGACTGGACTCAATCAGCACATCTTTAAAAAATGACATAATGCCCACCCTTATCCTCAATGTTAGGTTCCATCTGCAGTTGACAACTTATATGTGCAAACAAATTGAATGTTATCATTTGAAATCTCCAAAGGGTTGATAGTTAGTCTTGCACCAATAACAAATATGTATAGGAAGTCATACAAAAACAAATATATTGTTGTTTTGCAGGTGAAGCATTAAAACTCTGACCACACAAAAAAAGCCCACACATTTATATATTTTCTGATATTTACCTAGTGTAATTATTTGTTGGTGAAATGATAAATAAAACCTTTGAAAACAAAAAAAAACACTGGTATGAAATAAATCTGTTTTGAGAACACAATACCGTAATTTTCGGACTATAAAGCGCACCTGCATATAAGCCGCAGCAGCTAAATTGAATGATGTGTACATATATAAGCCGCACTGGACGATAAGCCGCAGGTGTTTTAATGTTTAATTACCATATGTAAGGGTTCGTGCACAGAGGGGATTGTCGGGAAAGAGATGGCTGTTTGAGGAAGCTCCCATTTATTAACATTTCAACAAACAAGTTGCATATTTGCATAACGTATTCAAGCGTTACCATTTAGTGCAATAGTAGCTACAGAACATGTACTGTGCTGTGTAAACTGTACTGTATCACATAGCGTTTCAGACACACAAACTTTTCAACTTTCAAACTTAAACGGTGCGCTCCCAGCGCACGTACCGGCAGGGTTTGTGCATGAAAACTTCCTTTGCACAAACTGTCTTGCTCTCGTTCTGTCTCTCGTACCACTCTCGGTTCCACTTTTACTTTTGCGCGCTACCTGTCTCACTCTTTTCCGGCCTCCAGCTTTTCCTGCTGGAGCCCGCCGCTTAAAGGTGGCGGGTGCGGACCGGTCATAGAGCCCATAGTGTTAAAGGTGGTGGACTGTAACCTGTAAAATCCATAGATTTAGGAGGTTCCCTAGTGGCCGTTAGCTGTAAAAATCCATAGATTAGCCGCACCGTTATATAAGCCGCAGGGTCGAAAAATGGGAAAAAAGGCACGGCTTATAGTCCGAAAATTACGGTAGTTATGAATTATTTCTTTTTCCACCTAATGAAATATCACTTTGAGCTTCCTCACCCTTTAAACATGGACATATCTTTTCAATGTGACAAGACGCATCCCTCGGATTGTGTAGTCTGCCAGTGGGTAGGAATCATGTAGATCTTGTGGCTCAAGAAGTTCCACTTCCTTGCCTGGTGACGTTTTGAGATCATAAGCTCTATAATGTTCAATGTACCATCCACTGAGCTTTTTCACAATGAAGATCAACTTGTCCTGCAGTATCACCATTTTGAGGATTTCACTAAACTCTGGAAGTCCTCCCAGAGACCCATAGATCAAGATCATGCCACACTTGTAGTTTAGTCCATATGTCACAGTTTTGGCAAAGCTCACTGTATCTATATTTGAAGACTTCTGTCTCAGGGCATTTGAAATGTCCTTGTTCAGTACATCGATGTGTACAGTGGATATATTTGTCACTTCCAATGGAGGTCTGGCAAAGCTACACGAGTGCAAATGATATGCCATCTGAAACTGATGTTTCTCTGAAAGGGAAAGGAGCACATTTTTGAAGCACCTGATATTCCTTGCTACTCTTTTAAAAAAGCTATGCTTTGCTTCAAAACGCATAGTCCATAGGTGAACTAGTGGACCAAACTGATGGATCAAGTATGGATAATGCTCCAAAAAATGGTGTTTTGGTTTAAGCTTAACGTCTGGGAAAACCTCTTGAAATCTGATTCTGTGCTCAGAGATCTTGAAATCAAGATATGCAATGGAGTCCTCAGTATGAACGGGACAGACCACAAGATCAACAATGTCCTTCAGATCTGTTAAGATCTGCCAAGCTGGTTCCTCACTGGGAACATTATGTCCAATCAAAAAAAGGCAAAAACCTGATTAGACTCCAGTTCTCATGGGCATTTCCCCCAACAGTTTTTCTGGACCCAAAACTAAGAGGCACAGGATGAGGTCGATTGGTTTTGTCAGTCCACTTAAAGTTGAAAGATGATATTGCCTTGTTCAATGTAAATAATGTGAAATACTTTTTTTTAATGAATATATTGAGACAAAGTGCAAGTTCAAAAGGAACAATTCCTTCAAAAAGATCGTGCACAATATCTGGAGGAAACCCAGTTGTAACATCAAAATATGAAAGGTGCTCTGACAAAATACACTTTGATTTCACACCATAGTAGTTGGGCAATCCATTTTCCTCAAGGATTCTTAAATGATCTGCATGAATGTCTTTGGTTCTCAGAGTAAAGACTCCACTTCTAACTTATTTTGTCTGTAAGTCAGATTTTTCTGCAGTGCAAAATCTGCATACGTATGACCCTGTGAAATGTTCAACAAATCCAGCAATACCGTGTGCGCCTAGGTTGTCAACGACCACACACTGAACTGTGCCTTTTACTGTTCTTGCCAACTTTGTTAGAAATATCCCACTCTGTTCCAAAATTACAAGATCCTTAATTACAGGTTCTAAAACGTTCTCATAGCCATAGCACTTCAGATCATCAGTTTTGATTAAAGCAGCCAAATAGATGGAGGACAAAACAGAGTTACAGCCTGGTGGCAAATTACCCAAAATCCAATACAAACCACAAATTGTATGCTTCCTCCTTGATGTACCAAGAGGATTACATATCTCAAAATCATCAATATATAATATCAATGAAATGCTTTCTTGTTTAGGCAACAGTTCATTTTGTTTGAAGAAAGGCACCATCAAAAAAAGATCTGTATGTGTGCACACAAGTTCTTGGTGGCTGTTTATCTAAAGTATTCAAATTACTAGCCTGGTCTAAGATAGTCTGGCAGTCAAGAATTTGCTGCAAAGACTTTAATATTGAAATATATTGGAACAACTTTCTATTCTTTCTGTCAAGTATATATTCCACTGGTTCAACTACGTTAAAGTGTTTCTTATAGTAAGCCTTTCGCCTCCAAGCACTGCAAAGTGGACCTTTATGTTCAATTGCTTGTTTAACAGGGTTTGTATCACAGAGTGCACTCGCTAGTTTTTTAACCACTGACTGGTCAAACTGGCATCCGTTATCTTGTAATACCTTGCTAATAGTCGTCTGAGTGATTGGCAGAGAAAGATAACCTAACTCCTGCAAAAGCTCATCTACAGCTGCACTAGACACAAGAAATACATTTTCCAATTTAAGGAGGACTAAAGCTATTTTAAGCTCAATATCCTTCTCCAAGTTCTCAGTATGTCCGTTGTCCAAAGAACAATTCAAATTTACATTGCTCTCTATACTTTCCCCATCTGAAAAATCATCACCAACAATGGCAGAAGATTTTTTAACAGAAGTTATGCCAGGCTTACAGGCATTTCCTGGGCCAGAATGTTTTCCTGAATTTATGACTTTTAAAGTTCTCATAGACGTTGGTTTTATATTCACACTCTCGGAACACGCATGTTACAGTCTCATTATTTTTAAGATGCTGGAAGATGTGTTGAAAATAGTGTCTTTCTGTGGAGAGTTGATTATGACCACAAATATGGCATGTGAACGTGGACACAGCTTTGGTGGCTGTTTGTTGGGCAGGGTGATTTCTTGATAAATGGCTTATTAGAGAATTCCAGGTCTTGAATCTACATGTACAATTTAAATAAGTACATGGATATGAATGACCCCGTCCGTAGCTCCCATGACTCAGTTTGTAGTGCTTGAGCAGCTCAGATCTTCTTGTAAACACCCTCCCACAGTCTTTGCATCTCCACATGAAGCATGACACTGAAAAAACGAAAAAGGTGGGCTTTACTGAGAGTATCTTTATAGGTAAAAAATAATTTGTATATTAGCTTTGGCTGAACTCTAAAATTAATAACTCCACAGAAAACAAAACAGTGGATTTTGTCCTATAATCACCTGCACTTTGCGTTTACGTTGAAATTACTTTCAGAACACACAGTCACATTAAAGTACTCTCTATATCACTCACAGTAGTGTAGCTTCACGTACCTTAGGTAGTAGTCCAATACGATGTGTCAAAGCCTGAAGAAACCACCACCAGTCAGGCATGAGAAGAAAAATAAATACATTTATATTAGGGGGGACATTTCTATTCGTTGTTAAGCTTTCACAGTCACCTATTATCACCCCAAACATAGTAATGGTCTTATCAGCAACAGCAAATTACACTACCGGGCTTCTTATTAGCACATTAGCACAGCAACACAGAGCTGGATAACGCTTTAACCACCGAGCTACTATAAATGTGAGGCTTTATCAACGCCGCATCAACCACTTCCAGCATAAACAAGAAGGCAGTCCCGCCATCGAGGCGACCGCTACAACAAATTATTACTGCATCTCCCACACACCGAGGTTAAATTATATGTTCGTCAGCCGGATGCATCACCGGGCTTTCACCAGCGCAACATGCCCCATCACTGCTCGGTGATTCCGTATCGTCTTTATAATTACACTCGACGCAACGGCGGCGACACCACATTAAACCGTTCACACAAACACGCCAACATAGTACAAAAAAAACATGTGCTGTTTGGTGACAAGCTAATGTACTAATAACGATAGTTAGCCTAGCCTTAACATGACCCAGTTTGCGCATTAGTTTGCGCTAATTTGGTAATAAGCAGCTACGCCAGTACACAATAGGAATTACTTTAACACATTTCAGTGACAATATTAAACCAAGAGAGTATGCTTCTACCCGCAAGTAACCAACTATCGTCATGTTTGAGCTAAAGCTAGCGGTTTAGCTAACAGTGGAGACAGTGCATCATAGCTTGGTTCCTTCAGTTTTCAAACGTTAAGGCTAAATATTTGCAACAACATTTAAACAATTTAGGTGGAACATGTTATATCTGACATTGTACATTATTTTTATATAAGAAATATAACTTGTCTGAATCACACTTACCGTATGTCGAAGTCACGTCTCAAGAGAAAAAGGCTGCAATGTGACGGTGGAATGATCTGGCAAAGACGTTGACGTCATGACGTCACACGCACGTTAGATGAGAGAAACTTGATTGATTTGCTTTCACTGATAACAAAATATCAAGTCAAGTCAACGAACAAAAAAATCACATGAATACAACCCACAAAAGTACATTGGAATCTCTAAAGCAGAAATCTGAATCAGATTTATTAAATGTATTAAGTTACTTCAACTACTATCAAGTACACTTTTTAGAGTGTACCTTTCAGCAACGTTTTAGGGATTTAGGCTCAGTCAGCTCAGGGACTGTTTGGTTACTTTAGTTTGGTAAATGAAATAAATGTTTGAACTTTGTAGTAGTTCACTGTAGTTGCTGTCATAAGTCATTTGTAGACTAAGTGGCAAAAAGTGTTTTTTTTACATTTGTACTTTGTAGAGAAATGTAGACACAAGTTGGAAGGGAGCACAATAAACCTGACGAGTTTGAATTTGAGTTGATTATGAGTTAATTTTCAATTGATAATTAGCTCACAATAAGTTCACTTTAGTTACTCACACAACTTGACAGAACCCATGGGTTCACCTGAACCTCTGGACTTGAGTCCGGACCTGAACCTGAATGTGAGTCCAGCTACGCAGCACTACCCCCGTAGGTTTGCTGTGAAGGTGACATCTTCTTGACATCTCTGACAAAAGCTTTCTGGCTGACAACTTTATTCAGCTTTAGTGCTGGCACTGAATCTGAAAATACACAATCAAAAAAGTATATAGGATATACGATAATAGAAAAAATATTAGTTCTTCACTGCATATCATTTTTCTTTACTGAAGACACAAAAACATTCCAACACAACATTTAATGAGTGGTCCATTGTCATAGAAAATATTATTACCTGCTTTGAGCCATTTTTTCTTGCGGTTCTGAGCTGCAGGTAGCCGACCATGGGCACATTTCTCGAACACTCTGCCATGTTTGGTGTGAATGTTTATAATGTGGTTGTTGAGGGACAGCCATTTGTCAGCAATCATTTCTCCATTTCCATCCGGAGTTGATACGGCACACCAATACAGATGGTACCCCAATACAGAATGGATTGTATCCATTCCCCAATATCGGTACATTGCTTGTCCTTTGCAAGCTTTACCAGTTTTTTTTTAGGTCTATAAAACAGAAAGTTCAGTATTTTTTTTAATTGTGGTGAATTGGAGAATTATAATTCTACTATAGTTTAAAGATTAACCTACTTTTTGCAAGGTGCCAAACTACGAACCGATGGTCCACATGTTCTTGGTTTTCCTTCAGCCATTTGTTGATCTGTGTGTGTCTGTCTGTCACAATTGTCTTCATGACGAGGTTTTCACTCTCCAAGAACTGGACACATCGCACAAGCCCCTCTTTTTCCATGTGGACACTTGAAGGGACTTCATTACTCTGGAAATACATTCAGAACACACATATTTTATAAAGATGGCTATCATAGAGCATTTGATTTTCACAGGGTGTCCGCGGGGTCTTAAAAAGTATTAAAAGTTGATAAATCAATTTAGCGAAAATTAAGGCTATTAAAAAGTATTATAAAGTATTAAACGGCATTTTCCAAAGTATTAAGAAGGTCCACAGCAACGACAACATGAAACACCCTTTAATTTACTGAAACAACATGTGTGGAGAATTGAAGATTATATTCATCTTAATGTCCCCTGATATATAAGAAGTGTGTTTTTATATATTCATGTGTGTACTTAAGTACTTTGTATTTAATAGTAGCAGTTTATATGAACAAGAAGCTGGAGATAGGAGGAGTGAAAACTAAATATCCTTATATAGACATATGCTAAAGACAGCAGAGGGTAGAATGTGTGTGTGAAAGCTGCAGAAATACCAGATGTTTTTGCTTCAAACTAAGACTGTTTCCGGATCATCTCGGCTGGCGCGCGCTGATACGCTACGAAAGCCCATCGTTTATATATGGGCCAATAGATTACCTGTATTGGGGGTAGCAGCCACACAGCTCCTCCCTTGTTTTTACAATATCTCCTGTTGAGTCCTGGTGTTCGCTCTCTTTTTCTCCTGCCGTCAAGATGATAAGGTTCTCCCGGCATTTGGACCAGAGCAGGGGTTGGGCCCACCCCTTTGAAAGTAATGTATTCTTACCGTTTATCATTAAAACAGATTATTGTTTAACCCCTATCCTGTTTGTTTTGAGTTTTCCTTCTTTTAAAGCAAACTCATATAGGATCGGCGCGGAGCAGAGATATCTGCTCCAACACATGTCGGAAACCCCCCCAAGGTGGCCCCATGCATAGCGTGCCATAAAATGCTGCTTCTTATTTTAAAGCTCACATGTCATGGCCATTTCCACTGATCATAATTCCATTGTTGAGGTCTACTAGAATAGATTTATACTGTGCAATTTTCCAAACTCACATTGGTTTCGCATACAGCATCTCTGTAAACTACGTGTATTCACTCTCTCCACTAAACGGCTCGTTGCAGCTCTTGCTCCCCCCCCCCCCCCCTCCTCCTCCCTGTGAGCCCAGTGTGCTCCGATTGGTCGGGACCAGTCGGGACGTTCTGAATCGCGCTAAGCTCCGTGGAGGTGTGATTTCCTTGTTTAGCGATACACAGCCAAACTCACCCTGAGCACACACAAAGTCACAGCCGAAGTAAAAACAATAAGTGTGGCTTGATATTGAGTAAGAAAAGGGTTGATAAACGCTGTGAGAATGGGTCTGCAGAGAGAATTTTGCCGCGATCCCAACTGTCTGTTATCAGCCTGCAGCCAGGGAGGAGAGATCAGCAGAGCTGCATGCACTGAGTGTGTGAGGAAGTCCGTGGATTGGTCAATTTGGACCAATCAGCGGGGGCTTAACGTAACGGCTCCGCGGACGTAACGGCTCCACGGATTGGTCCATTTCGTTCCGGGGACGACATGATGTACCCGGAAGAATCAAATGGACAGAGACGTATCTCCAACGAGGCGTTTTGGGGAGGTATTTTCTGTTTTAGAGTTTTACTCTCTACATGGTGTACTTTGAGGGTTTTGACTCTGCACACCGTTTACATGCATAAAAACCTTCATAACACACAAGGGGACAGGTACTAACCGGAAAAGCATGACATGTCACCTTTAAGTTTCGTTGCCTTGCTCCGCTCTGTGGGGGGGGGGGGTGTTATCTGCTGGTGGACTACCTGAGAGATATACAGCAGGAGAACACGCCGTCCACCGCGGAGAATAAACAGAAGGGCAACCATGACAACCATGCTCCGGGGTCTTCTTCGCTGCTTTTGGTGTATTTTGTGGCGGCAGCAGCGCCACTTACAGGCCTGGCATATGTACTACAGCGTTTCCAGCATTTCCAGCGGTCTAATGTGAACGGACCCTATGGAACGGACACGTTAATGAATCGAATGCGTGTGAACAGAAGACTTTTTTGCGTTTGCGTTTTACTGGCCGGGGTCTAAGCCAAACTATATCCGGTCACAGAGATCTGCTATTTTAAAGTAAGGTATCGACCTATCGACATATCGACCCTAAATATAGTCTATATTCAGAACGAAAAATTCTTAACATATATATCGTTTTTTGTAAACATATGTGACCTGCTCTATCGAAATCAGTCGCATTGACCCGAAGACACATTTTGAGTTGTATACACTGCTGGAAAGAGGATATTCCTAGCTTTCTAATGATATCAGGATTGTTTTTGTACTCCAAATATTAAGCGAAATATGTCACATTATATAATGACTGTCACCAAGTCCTCATTTTGAGAAAAAGGCCTTCAAAGTTTTCTCTTCTCTGGAATCCATCGATCTGATTGATTATTAGCGGAGCAAATGATCAAAATACTACGGAGGGAAGATATTTTCGTTTGGATTACTGGTCTGGGGGAAGCTCGCGAGTGTGTGTGTGTGTGTGTGTTTGTGTAATTTTGCGTTTGTGTGTATTGCGTTTGTTTCCCGGGGAAAACCCTCACGAGAAACACCGGCTGTTGTTATGCTTGCTGTGATGTTAAATTACTCCGTTCTCTGCTTGTAATTAGGCCGTTACAAGCTTCAAAGTTGTATTTATCATCTGAAT